TGAGGATAATAATATGTATTCCACAGGTTTTCATAAAGATCAAAACAGATAGTTTATGTGAGGCATTTCTTGAAGTGCTTGGGACAATGTGAGAATCCAACACATGGTACCTGTTGTTATTTTTAAGATCACAGAGCAATACTTCTTTGTTCTCTAAGGCTTTCAAAAGCCTTTGGTGAAAAACATGAATCATAACCTATCTTTTCTCATGAATATACCTGAAATGTCAAACCAAAAACAGTATTCAATAATAGCGAGGTATGCGTGCGGAGTGCAGTATTTTAGGCCAGTGCAGGACGTCATTCCTATAGTTGCAGAAATGAAGATAACAGTGTGAGAAGGTACATGAAACAAGTGATCGTGACATGGGTTAGCGGAGCAGAGGAGAATATCAACCTAACTCAACTGGAATGGCTTACAGGTGCAGTAGTGTATTTTCTTAGTTAAGTTGCTTCAGTCTACATAATTTGAACTATATACTGTCCTAGTGTCACCACTTGTAAACATGATAATTTAAAATAAGAAAAAAGAATAAAAGGGGACTTTAAAACTGCTACCGAATTTGTCACTGCACTGTGTCACAAGAGACAAGCAAGAGCTAGTCTTATCAACAGTGCTTTCCAGGCACCTGGTCCAGAACTGCATGCAGCACAGAAGGGAAGGATTTCCTGGGCAGCAGCTGTCTTTTAGAAGTCACTCATGGAGAAGCACACTCTCTGTGGGCTAATTTGTTAACTTTGAGAGTTGGATAATTAAGCTCTAATTAACACATTTTATCAAAAGACAAATTCCTCTCTTGCTTAAGTATTTTCTCTTAACTATGTAAACAGGTTTCAACTAAGTATATAAACAGGTACTTCAGACTATTATCATTTTCATTGATTCAAGAGGTTGCCTTTGTACATGATCTTAGATATAATCTCCAAAAGGTATTAAACATTCACTTTATGATTATCCACAAAGCATGAATTTTTCAATAAATATAATGCCCCATAAGACAAAGTAAATGCTTATCAACAGTTGAAATGAAAGGATATTGGTAGAAAGAGCACGCTATTTCCCACCCTTGCCCCCCATGACAAACACTACCAGACTGTAATGTTTATTTAGGCTCTCAACCTCTTTTGGTTGATAGTTCTGTTTAAATAAAGCTGCAGCAAAATGAGATAATCAATTTTGAGTCATGTTTCTAGAGTTTTAGAACTTAATTGCTTATATTAATTATTCATACTCTTCTGGCAGAAGAACCTTAGCTTTATTAATTTCTGTTCTTGGGAACCATAAAACTCTTTTGACTCAGGTATCTTTATTTTTTATTCTTCAGGTTAAAAAGTTGGAAAATTGGAAAAAAGAAATACAAGGGAAAGGTAATCTAGGTGTGGAAACCCATAAAGTACAGTCAATATCACCATTTTCCCCGTACCTTCTTTAAGAGCCCTTGAAGGTACAGGGAGAAAAGGTAAACATTACAGGAGTCCAGGTATAAAGTCTATAAATAATGTAGTGCTATGCTGAGTGGAAAGTGCGCCAGACTGAAAAAGCAGAATGCCTAGATTCTACTCCACCACTGCCACCAACATGCTAAGTAGCTGTGATGGTTCTCAGTGTTTTCCTCTGTCAGTCATGGCCAGGGTATTGAATTACATGATCTCCTGTGTCCTTTCCAAAGGTTCTCTGTCTAGACTCCACTAAAACAACACACACACACACACACACACACACACTGTCTGGAACAAGGGTGAGACTGAGCAAGGTGGTGGCTTGTAGGGAAAAGATTCCGAATACAAGTCCAAATCCCACCAGGAGTCTGGGATGAATTGGGAGCAGGTAGTGGAAGAGGTGAGAGGATCATGACCTTTCTACTTGTTGGCACTCATTACTGGACAATAAAGCAATAGGGACTGGTTATTTTAAGCCTTCACAGCTCAGTTTCCACCCCTGTAACACAATGGCTATCACACAGAGCCCAAATGAGAATAAAGTGTCCTATAAATGTCTGTTAATACTGAGAGATGTGGTTTTCCACAGAATGCAGAGTTTTGTCCATCAAAAATTTTGACTTTTTCTAAAACTGAGGAATGCCAATGTCTTAAGATTTGGAGTGAAATAAACATAATGACTTGGATGTAACTGCTAGATTGACAGATGAGTCAAACAATAGCTGGTACCACATTATTATACACTGATCAGCCCAAACTCCTGTTAAGTAGCTAAATCATTATCTTTATTTTAGATAAAATAGATCTTTTCATGATAAAGAGGTGTAACAACATCAGAAGAGATAAATGGTCATCATTTAATCTAGATTATCCTAGACACTCTTCATTTCATAAATTCTTCTGTTCAACAGAGTAATTCATCAAATGTATACACACATATGATTTAGTTCTTATATCTTTAAAAGTTATCTTCTACAGTGGAATCTTAAAATTAGACTACCTCTTCTGTTCGATCACATCAGGTGATCCTTTTTGTTTCTTGATTAAGTAAATATGGTCCCTAGACATGGGACCTGGACAGAGGTGTCTACCTTAAACGTTCACCATCACCCTGCAGTACAGACTGTCCTTGCAGAATGACAGCAATGCTACATATTTAGCTGCAGCTGGGGGCGGAATTGTAGGGGAAAGTATTATATAATTAGACTATAATTATTCTAGCATTGTATAATAAAGAGCCTCATTTTCCCAGTCTGCAACAAATGATAGAGTTGCTTGCCTGCCTTGGGGTTCAGGTATATGTACTAGATATCTCTAAGTGCTCTAAGGAGCTGGGAGGGGCCATCACATGGGTCACTGCCTGCATCTGCTGGGCCTAGATATAGTATACCTGGGGAGATGCACATAAAATCATGCACATATTCACACACACCCAAAAGGGCCATAATGTGGATAAGGTTGAGGTAGAACCCACCAAAAAGCAACAGCTGAAGCTTGTGCAGAAGGCAAGATAATCTTTGTGCAGGCAAACTCTCTTTTCTGGGCCACTGCCTTCCTGGGTCAAGTCCATTCACCAACTTCACATTGATTTGTATTAAGAACTTGAACCTTTTCATCATAACCTCAACAACGGTCCAATGTCCCCAACCAATTCTAGTAAGTGAAGGGTCAGAAGTCATAGTACTTACATAATGGTAGGTACTTAGAAACTTGCAAAGTTCTGAATCTAATAAGACCCTAAAAAGTCTTTGGTGCCCTTACTCTAAACAGATTTCAGCAGTACAGTAACCTGAAGCCTTTTCTTTATGCACTTGTGTTGGCTGGGGATATTTATTTCAAATTTCCAGGCCTGCTTTTGCCTTGTTCATCATGGACAAGGTGACCCTAACATTCCTGGGGCAGCCCCCCAATGCCCCATGTGCACTGCAGAATCTGTATTAGGGTATCTCCTGGCGCCTAACATATGCCATCACATGTAATGTTGCCTAAAAGAACAGAAGCACTTATTTAAAATCAAATAGTGGAATTGCCTATCAAAGCGATCAGGTGTTGCACTGTTCATTTTTTAGTATGGATAATACATAGTTAAAGAATTAAACCACAATAAAACCCCCCTCTTTCCAATTTTATTTATTGTGTAAACATCTAAAATAAAAATACTAAGTCTCTTTACCTTCAATTAAAAACAGTAGAGAACGGCAGAAATAATAAGAATTAATCAACATTATTAAAAGGCATAAATTGTGGAAGTAAAAGCAATGTGGGTTTCTAAAAAAATTCTGTGAGGTTCTCTGAAGCTATAGACATAAAAAGAAACCAAGGGATCTAACTTACTTATATCTTTAAAAAGTCCTTGGCAATATTTCTCACCAAGGGCTGTTAAAATACCTGAATTCCCAAAATATCTGATTTCCCACTGGCTTGAGATTCTTTTTTAATACTTTTCTACCTAAGGAAGTGACTGTTTATCCCCACACTTTATTTTTTAGAACTCTCTACCCACCAAAAAGTAACTTCCCTGACCAGGGTGCACCCCATCGGAACCTACTTCTCTGGGTTTACGTCAATCCATTTTGCCTCCCTGGGATAGAGAAGAATTAAATTTGAGAGGACTTTTATCATCTTTGAATGATAATAAGTAATCAAGATAAGATAAATAATCACTATAATAGGATGCTCTCCTACTTATTTTGTGTTGAGCTTCAAACTATCCATGACTTCTCTGTCAGCCAGAGAGAGAAGCCATACTACAGACTTTTCTGGCATCCTACATCCTGAAGCTCCTGGGGACTGGGCCCCACAGTGGCCCATGGATGGAGAAGAGCCTCTTCCTTTCCCTGCTCTCTGGCTGAGAAGGGAGGATTGAAAAAATCAGGGTCCAAAAAGCATGCCAGAGTGGAGCCTGAACAAAACCAAGCAGGAGCTAGGACCCTGGTATTCCAACAGGGCCTAGGAGCAGAATATCCCCCATCCCAGCACTTTGGCCAGCAGCCAGACACCAGAGAATCTCAACCCTGGAATTGAGCACCAGTGACAAGCCTGCTCTTAAATCACAACATGCTTGTAAAAGAGACTTAAAACTGGTTTCTTAAAGCTACTTCATGCATGTTGAGGCCACAAACAGACTTAATGAAATTGCTGTTGCGGTTACTTAGCAGTCATTATGGCTAGCATGATAAGTATCGCCATTAGTTTGCCCCATGCCTAAAAATACAAGTAAAAATTTATAAATATTGAAGGTGGGAAGTAGAAAATAATCCTCAAAGACTATTCTTAATCTCCATCTAATTGTGCAGAAATTTAAGATTTTCCTAGGTTATAATTTTCAAATTCTGTAAATAGTGGAAAATACTGTCAAAAGAAGAAATGCTTCCAATTTATTTCTTTATATTAGGGCCTCTTGGCTTAGATACTGCTGTTGGCCAGCTGCCATTCATCGCCTGTTTAAAAGCTTCAAAATCCCTGGTATTCAGCTATGAATCCATGAGCATCAGCCTGTTGACAGATAAGATTTTCTAAAGTATTGTTAACCTCATGTTACTGTCTAATTTTGCTACATACCTTAATTTGAACTGAGAGCGAACTTCCCCATGTTCTATTTGAATCAGTTCATTATAGCAAGCAATTATGCTGCTATTCTCCATAAATCTCTGAAAAGAAAACAAATATAATACATAAGACATATATAGTTACTTCTTAGAGCGTCAAATGGAAAAACTTAACAGTTGTTCCTACTCCCAGGTAACTCCGTTATATAAGATAATTAGTAGGTAAGATGAGATGAAACAGTTGTCAAGGTGTTCAAAGTGCTTGTTTAAATGTATGAGAAACAACAGAGCAAGTAATACTGTACACTTAACTTCCTTCATAACAAAGGTAGAATAAAATACATTATGAACACTCTAGGGCATAGAATGCCTGCCTAGCCATGTTAATTACTGCAACATTTTGCTTCATATTGCACTAATAAAATCATCTAAAACCCAACACTCAGCATGTTCAGTATGCACCATATTATCAATGATCTCTTTAGAAGGGAGAGCCTACTCTTTACTTTCTTCCTAATTTTCTGAGTGCCTAATGCAGAGGAAAAGTTAAACATAGACCTCCTATATGATCCAGCAATTCCACTCCTAGGTATATATTCTAAAGAGCAGAAAGCAAGTACCCAATGAATACTTGTATGTGCATATTCATAGCAACATCATTCACCATAGCCAAAAGGCAGAAACAGCCTAAACGTCCATCAACATTTGAACAGATAAACAAATTGTGGTGTATACATACAATGGATTATTACTTGACCATAAAATGGGAAAATATATGCTACAACATGTATGAAACTCAAAAAAGTATTAAGTGAAAGAATCCAGACAGAAAAATTCACATATTGTATGATTCCATGGTTATAAAATACCTACAATAGGCCAATTGATTGAGCCAAAATGCAGATTGGTGGTTGCCAGGGTGGAGGGGAGGAGGACTAGGAGTGACTGCTTAATGGGAACAGAGTTTCCATTTGGGGATGATGAAAATGGTTTTTGTTTGTTTATTTTGCAACAGGGTCTCACTCTAACTAGACAGAGGTGGTGGTTGTATAACACTGTGAATGTACTAAATGCCACTGAGTTGTTCACTTTAAAATGTCTAATTTTAGTTTCATCTCGAATGAAAAAGAAAGACTTTCATGTATTTCTATATAAACTTAGTGAACGAATGAATAGATAAGCAAATAATAACGCAGAAGAAAATGCAGTACACATTGTCATTCATCAAAGACCCATGAAGCACTCATTTATGCTAGGCATGAGCTGCTCAAGTCCAGCGTTTAAAGAAGAGTAGCCCCTTTTTCACTTAACCCCTAAGTAATTTGGTTTACATTTCTTATATATGCTACATGATTCAGTGTAGGGTATATAGGAAGTTGAGCAGGTCTCTGACATGATCATATCAATAATTAATGAGAAATAACGAAATCAGAAATGAAAAGCAGGTAAAAAATAGTAAGAGAACAGATTTAAGGACAATTCTACTTAGGAAAGGGGAAATGTTTTACATTTTAACTGATTTTAAAAAATCATCATGCAAACCTTTCTAAGCATATGGCTGACAAACCGTTAAGTAGAAAGATAAGCAGAATTCTAAAGTATCCCAAATCACATTCTTTTGCTTCTCAGGTAGCTATATAGGCAGCGGAGGAGAATACTAGGTCCTGCTGAAAGATGTATTTCTTAGAATTCTTTCACCCAAGTTGGTCAGAGGAAAAAAATCAATCCCTCTCCTCACTCCTCTCTCTCACTCTTTCTCACACACACACACACACACACACACACACCCCACACATACACACTGGAGTGGATGGCTCCACATATCTGGAGTGGATGGCTTCTGCCTGGCTTTCCCTGGGCCTCTGGTCCTCCACTATTCCATGTGGAAGCTGGGAAGGGCTAAGGAAAGAGAGGAAGCCATAAACACACACAGCAGGGAAATACTTTCTCTTTGATTTACAGAGAAAAGTTAAACATGGTTAGATTCCATTTGAGCTTTTAGTTGGATAAAAGCTATTTATCAGCCTATCACAGAACTCTGAGGGTTGTTAGCTGATGTGTTGTAAAAACCTGAAAAAACGATGATAAACACGTTTTGAAAATGTTGGGATAACATAGAAAGAGATGTATGTATGTCATGACACTGTTCTGCAAATAATACACAGTCATTTCTATTTCTGCCTAGAAATAAATCTAAAAGGCCAGTGGCATGATGAACAATTTTAATTTTTAGCTTATCTGTATTTTCTATAATAAACATGAATTATTTTGTGCAAAAAAGGGAAAAAAATGTTGGGATAAACAAATTTAGCAGGTTTCTTTACTATAGGACTCCTCAAAGCATTTAAGATGCCAATGTGCTATGTTGCAAAAGTGCTCTGTGGATTCTCAGTTGTGGGAGGAGGGAAAACTGAGTTTTCACTGATTCCCCAAACTTATTTGACCATAGAAGCTTTTTAACATGGACCACCTATTAATAGCTTTTGGTACACTAGTGTTTTGTGGACACTAGCTTGGGAAATCTAACTTTAGTGGACTCAGTATAGAGACTGGAGTTAAACAACATGCATTTGCTTCTGGACTTTGTCATGAGTGTGAGCTCTGGCAAGTTTAGTTGTTTTGAGCCTGCTTCCTCCTCTGCAAAAATGGAGAAAATATCAAATCCCTCATCTGTAGAGGAGGATTAAGTAAATCACTGGGAACTGGGCCTGAGAATAAATCATAGCTCCCCACTTCCTACTCCACAGGAGGCCTCTCCATGGAGAACTGTGTCCTACAGTCATGCCCCCAGCATGCCTGGCACATTGCACAGAGGCAGAATTCCATAAACACTTGTGAACTTGAACAAACATTGTTGCAAATAGAAAAAGAGGCACATAAAGCTGATATAAGAACAGTTGCAACTGTCCTTTGCTAAGATGCTGGTTTCTAAAAGCATCTATACAGTCGGCTGCTTCTATACAGTTCCAGAGCCTTCCAGGGGAGTTGCTGTGGGATATGTGATAGCACAGTGTGTTCCTAGATCCCCACTCAGGGACCGCAGACTGAAGCACCAGCCAATTAGCTAGCAACACAGGGGTGAGTCTCAGCAGATGATTCAATACAATCATAACAGCTCAGAGATGGAAAACAGCCTCACAGAAAGCAAGGATAACTGGGATATTTGAAAAGGTGCTTGGGTAGAGAGTTGTGAAAGACAGGATTTTGCCCAAAAAAGGAGAACCACCACCTGAAGATCAGTCTCAGCTGATAGTGTGCCACAGAAATGCCAAGAGAGCTGTTGTAGGTGCAGCGTGCTTCTCCTGGAATGACCCCAAGCTACTGGGAGCGCCTTGACCTAACCAGCAAATGGCATCTATCAGAGCCAGCACTGAAGAACACCAGGTGGTCCCTGACAGTTAATCTGTTCATGCTGTTCATGTTCAAGGGTTATTCACTGTGGCTGACTGCAAAACACAGTCATGTCTAGGTCTGGATAGCGGGAAATGAAGCCTTCCAGAGCACAATGGACAGGTTATAAAATGTGTAAAAAGAAAACAGTGGAACTTTAGTTAAATTTTCTCAGCATTTGCACCCAAAGAGTGCCAGTTGTTTCTCCTAACTGTGAGGATATGTGCAATCTCGGCCTTCCAGACAAGATACTATCACTTCAAATGGCAGCAATTCTAAACCAATTTGAGGCAGGGTCACTGAACTAAAGGTAGAATTTCAAAAAGGATACTCAATAGCACGTACACACGTCCTAATCAAAGAAGCCCACAGCGTGTCATTGCCATTCTCCAATCACCCCCCAGGTAATGAGGAAAATCTATGTCCTTACACTCCATGAAGTCCCAACTCAAACTTGAAAAGGACAACATGGGAGTGGGGTAGAGTCAGGTGGCCAATATTACGTGGAAGTTCTATGAAGCCTGTGAATAATTTTAGAGCTTTTTCTTAGAAAAATGAGTGAGTAAAGAAAATCTGTCTCAACCACATGGCTTCTTTGCTGATTTTTCTTTTGCAACTCTTCATTCCAAAACTCAGAAGCATTGTCTCATGCATTCTCATTAAGATACAGCACACAAGAATAGCTTTCAGAACCAAATGCCAACCCTTGCAAAAAGAGACAACAGACAAGAGGAAAAAGTGTTAGGAGTGTGAAAAATATTGCAAGCTGGAAACATTCATTTCCATCACACATCGTGAGCCACTAGACTACCTTGAATCTGTTCTACAGCACTGCTACTTCTACACTGAAGCATATACCAATGCACAAAACAACTGCAGCACAAAGGTAGTTTTTGCTTCTCTGTGGGCTACAACTAAGAGGAATATAAATATATATATATATATATATATTTAAATTTATATATATAAATAAATTTTTATTTATATATATATTTAAGCCCAGAGTAGCAAAGCACCATTATTTAAAGCAAACAGAGGATTTTCATAATTCACAAGACATAGGCAGTACGCTATTTTTTAAGGAATACATCACTTCACCTATTTGGGATTCAGATTACTCTTACCAAAAGATCTTGAGACACTGGGTATGCCTAGTTAGTCTGTTGGTAAGTCTCTCTGGAGTAACCAATCTTAATCTTCACATTGAATATCAGTGTTATTCTTGATGATTATAGTTTAAGCCAGGAGGTCATAGGATTACTTGAGTTTAGATTATCAGCAAAAGCTGTATAAGTAAACCATGGTCCTCTATCCTATTAGTCTCCTAAGTGAAACCTTTTATTTTTTTTTTTAAATAGGAGTAATATATGTGTTTATTATTTTAAAAATTAAGATATTAAGTAAGGTCTTCCACAATTTCTCTATAAGGTCTTGTTTTCTTTTACTATTAGGGAATATCGTTCTTTTAAACATTCATATTTTGAAGATCTTTTTCCTCCTCCCTTTCTTCCCTTTCTTCTCTTTCAAGTCCATTCCATCATTTCCTTTCCATTTTCATGCACACAGCCTTGCCTCCAGTCTAATTTTTACCTTGAGATACTGGGTAAGCTTAATTATTTAGTTTGTTAATAAGTTTCCTTGGAGTAATTCTTAATCTTCAAGTTGAATATCAGTGTTATTCATGTAGTTTGTCACTCAAAGAATTTTTCTTTGCTGATGTTAACAGTTTAAACGGGGAGTTCACAGGGTGCTATAGTCATCATGGGTCTGTCCCTAGCATATAAGCTCTGGCTGGCCCTGATAAACAGAGGCTTGGGTGCCAATTTGGTGGAATTATCTATATATAATCACACACACATTGACTCTAATTGACTGTACTGATTTAAATAAGATTACTTTAGGATGACAGAATTTTTATCTGTATAATAAGCTGTGTTTTTATGTCATTGCATATCTGTTGCTAAGATTAATGGAGAAAACCTAGAGAGCACAAAAGGCAAAGAGGTCGACTGGCAGTTGCTTGTTACTCTCCCATGAGAACACAGTTTCTTCCTTTCCCCAACAGTCCTGGGGCTTAATTCCCTTAACAGTTCTCCGTGGCTGCTTTGGTTTCCTGGTATGAGAGAGTAGGGGTTAAGGTGCCCGCACCTGAGGGAGATGCTGGGCATCTTGTACATACCCTGTTGAAGCCTGCGTGGAGAAGAGGAAGGACTGAGGCCTCTTCATGGTCATCCGATCTGCAGCAAAGCAGAAAATGTGGTCACTCAGCAGATACAAACCAGGGTTCCTCACACTGAAACACGGGAGAGAGAGCAATGAGGCCACACAGCGTCAGCTCCAAGAGTGGCTTCCTGATAAGCACGTGCCCACGGGCACACCTGCCTTCAAGGACACAGGCCCCATATCTACCTTCCAGATGCAAAAGATTAAAAACAGTAGAGAAAACTCCGGCAGTGTACCTGGAGTTACCATCCTCGGTACACGAGTGGCCCTTTCCAACTCAGCTGACCTTTGGGGTTGAGCCACATGTCTGGGAGCAAACCCATAAAGGCACATGTTAGGTGCACTGTTCATGCTGAGACCACTGTCCCCAAACCATCTGGAAGCACACCTCCCATACCAAAACTGAGCTGGGTCCATCCAACTCTCAATGTGAGGAAGACAGCCAGCACTCCAGGCTGCAGGACCCCCAAGCCAAATGGGAGAGAAATAGCAGCAGGAACATACAGTTAGAAGGGAAAGGGAGAAAATGAAAATGGATAATTGCCACCTAGTTCACAAGAGCATTTGCTATAGTGAGCCTACTGCTGAGTCTCCGGACTTCAGTTTGTGTAGGTTGGCTTGTCACAGAAACATGCTATCACTGGGCTCTCTATCACCATGAGAGAAACAGTGTCCTGAGACAGCCAGCAAGTAAGATCGGGACATACCATAAAAATCAGAGAAGAAAAATGGAATAAAAGGGATTGGATGGAAATGCAGATAGAAAATAGGAGCAGAAGTCCCAGTGCTGACTCGTGGTATTACCCATAGCTGTTTCCTGCCTTAAGGGAAAAGCTGTCTTACCCACTCTCTTTTTCTTCAGGAACTCCAAGTTCTACCTTCTCTGACTGTTAAATCAGCAAGGCCACCAAAAGGGCTCAAGAGTATTAATAATGTTTTATTTCTTAAGCTGGTGACACAGACACAGGCATTCATTTTTATTACTATTCTCTATATATGAAATGTTTTATAATAAAACCAGAAAAAAACTGGTGACGATCATAACAAATAAGGCATAGTCAACCATTATTTGTCAAGGACTAGCAAACATATCTGCCATATGAGTTGGAAAAACAAGAGTGTTTTGTTCTTGGACCCATGTAATAAGCCAGGCTTGGGAAAAACGCTGTGTGACCTTGAATATTTCTGGTATTGTTGTCCAAGACTCTATGACCTTATTTGGATCCCAGAGTGTCCAGAAGATAAACGTTAAAAAGAGGGTTGAAAGACGCTGATCTTATGTCTCGGTTCCCCTCATTCATTCCCTGGGGAATCTTACCTCCCACCAGAATGGAGGGGTATAATGAACCTGTGGGGACAATGTCTTTACTTTCTCTGGACCACATCCCGTGATGGGTATCAAACAAAATAAGAAGACACAGCTCCTAAGAAAACACCCAAAGAGTAGCAGGTAAGTAGGAGCTTTGAGCAAGGGCAAGACTTTGAAGGCATGATTTCTTGCGGTAGCCACATGATTTTGGAATGAAGCATTTCAAGTCCCCTGGGCCAGACCTTCCTGGCCTTTGTTGCAGAATTTGTGTCAAATGCCATAACAAGGCCAAGTCCAACAGGTCCTAGGCCCTAATTAAGGTCGTATTCTCTCTGAAGCAAAATATAGCAACTGAACGACTACAACTTTCGTTACCTGCCAAGATTCCCAGCACTGTAGCTTGTACAGACAATTTTCGTTCTGTTGGCTATTTTAAGTGCTGGCCATTTCAGATGATAAACCCAACAGAGCATTCTCTCATTCTACAGTTTCACTGTATCTACAGTGCAATCCCTTTTCTTTGCCTTCCAGCACTGGGATAAACTCCACAGTCCGCCTCTAGCCGCATAACGGTCCCAACATCAACTTCACAACCCTTGTCTTGTGGATTTAGTGCCCCTTTGTTCTCATGCTTGAACATGAAAAAAAATGTGTTTCTTCTTAAATGGAAACAAGCATATCCCCATCCCTTTTCTTCAAAGAAAAAAGATAAACTGGAACAATGTTTTCTCCAGACCGCCTCCTCCTTAAATTTCCCATTCATTTCTGGCATATAAGGAGTAAACTTCTTCCCTGAGGTGTATGACTATGTGCTAACGGCAATTACATAAGATACAGAGAAAAACCTAAATATTTCCAGGAACTTGTGAAACAAACAAAACCCCCAAAGCAAGATTAAGATCTAAAACTGGTGTTCCAGGACGGAAGAGGTACCCATCACTTAGATAGCTCAAAGACCAGATTACATATGACAAACATTTCAGAATGGACAGCACTCCTTCCAGCTGGGGATGGGAAGTGCACTTACACTCGTGAAACCACTGCGAGGATCACTGTGTGCTCGGAGGGATTTGTGGCCCGGATTGACCTGCAATGAGAAGGTTCCAAGTCAGACAAAGTGATCTGGGCTTTGTTACATTAAATGAATGCGGAACTTCTTCACATTGAAAGTGAAAAAACATCAAGTCTTTCTTTAAAGAAAAGGTCCCAAAACACACAGAAGACAGCAAAGACAGATGCCCTTGTGGATTAGGACAATCTCTTCATTTCGTTAAAAATTTTTTTTCTTTTAACTCCCAGGCAAGTATCCAATAGGTGAGACCTGCCAATTTTCCACTTAAAAATTGGCAAATTCCACTTAAACTCTATTTTTTAAAATTGAAATTCCACTCTGCAAAATAAAAACAAATTGGCAATCCTACAATCCTCTTCTTATCAGTATGTACCTGGGGGAGCTAATTGGGTTTGATCTTCTTTCTTTTAAAATAGCAGATAGTTCAGAAAGTTGACCTTGAGATAAAAATTAAAGCACTTGCTGGCAGCTAGAGGTGCAAACGCTGGTTAAAGCCAATTAAAGATGGTACAAAGAGTCACTTCAGTTTTTCAGTCCTCCTATAGCTTGTGCTTAAATACTTTTAAATAACTTCGTCATGAGGCTGAGAAATGTTGCAATGTAGTACCTGACACTGTATGATGTTTGCTGTAGTAGGATCATCTGGATATAGTTTATTCCCTAGGAAGTTAAAAAGGACCAAAATAATCAGGATATAGAATTTTGAGGTCCATGAATCTTCTTAGCTGTGTCATGCTGCAGTTCAGATTCTGCACTGTTCTGGCCAGGGGGGTTGTAAATTGGACAAACTTTTTTTTTTTTTTTTGAGACGGAGTTTCGCTCTTGTTACCCAGGCTGGAGTGCAACGGCGCGATCTCGGCTCACGGCAACCTCCGCCTCCTGGGTTCAGGCAATTCTCCTGCCTCAGCCTCCCGAGTAGCTGGCATTACAGGCACGCGCCACCATGCCCAGCTAAATTTTGTATTTTTAGTAGAGATGGGGTTTCACCATGTTGACCAGGATGGTCTCGATCTCTTGACCTCGTGATCCACCCGCCTCAGCCTCCCAAAGTGCTGGGATTACAGGCATGAGCCACCACGCCCGGCCTGGACAAATTTTTAATAAAGGCCTCTACCCTTGAATCTTGTTGTGAATCAGCATGCTTGCTTTGACCTATTCTCTTGGTCTGGCCTCTGCTTATTTTGAGATACCTTGGAAGGGAACCATCATCCCCAAGAACAGAATTACTCTTGAGTAATTTGTGAAACAACATGCATTTGTTTTTCTCTCTGGCTATGGACATTTCTGCTCCTCTCTACTTTAATGGGTTTGAACTACCACCCCCCACCTCCCAGGGACAGCTGGCTCATATTGCTTCATCCTCTTCAACTGCAACATTTTCTGACCTTTCTCAAAAAATGTACCTTCTCCATATTCTGTTCTTTGAGCCCTCACACCATGTGGGAGGAAGGCTCCAGAAAATGATTGTCTGCCATATTCCCTGGAAGTGAAGTTTCCCCTGGTAGATAAATGGTATTTGAAAGAGATCCTTCGGAGAGAATGCTGTTAACTCCCAGTGGGGCAGAAGGCATAAGTCAATATTCCTTCAATGCTGGCACAGGCTACTTCCCACTCAGCCACCCTGCAGGGCAGGTCCTGCTAATGTGAAGCTACACTTATTTATACTCAGGAGCCTGCTGGATGGATACTCAGCGGAAATACCAGTTAGCACCTAATGAAAAAACACAGTGTTTCTGAGGCATGTTCTGATCTCTAGAGAAACACTAAGTATGTCTCATCTCATTCACTCTTTCCCACCTCAGTAGGCATCATGGGCACACTGCTGGGCTATATCCTAAGGTGTGGGTTTTAGGCAAGAGGCTAAAACATGTAATGAGCATAATTGGGCTGGAGCACACACTCTCTTGGTTTCTCTTGGGCCTGGCTTCCATCCTTGCCTCTTTTCTCTGGTCGCTCCAAAGGAACTGGTGTGGTAAGAGAGACCTAGGCCTCTTCCTGGATGAGAGGACTAAGGGGAAGGTGGGGCTGAGGCCCAGGGATGAATGTTAGGCGAAGGTCCCATCCTGGCTCAAGGGCAAGGGATCTAGCGCCACAGATGACAACAAAGAATGCACATCTGCCAGGAGCGTGTCACCCACCCATCTTACTAGGGAATGTATGCTGGGAGTCAAGCATTTGGAATCTGGCCACCCTCAATGTGACTAATAGTGATCGGGAAATACACTACCAGATATGTACACATAAATTCTAAAGCACATAGATTCTCTATTGTTTTTCTGTGCAGCTAGGGCAGAAGCACATTTGAGAGGAACAAAACTCTATTTCTTTATTTCAAAGAAAGATGTAAAGCTTATCTGCTAACCTGGGCCTTTGCCTGAATTAAAAGATTTCTTCCTGTTGATTTTTTTTTATAAGTAAAGTTTGTCTTAAGTCGTACCATGTATGAACAAAGAAGCGTGATATTTCTGCTATAAAACTTTGTAAGAAAAGTAAGTGGAGGCCAAGAAAAATCAGAAATACATAGTTATACAAGACCCAATTCTACTATAAAATCATCAAAAATATTTCCTAATACTAGAAATAGCATCCAGATATTTTCTGATACACTATATGTATATTTTTATATACTATTAAATAGAAAAATGTTTATGCAGAAAGATGAGATTATTTGAAGCCATTAAAACATATCTAAAACAGTTGCTTAAGAAAAATTCTTCTTTGGGAAACTGAAAATCATCAAAAAATAGCCAGGTGATGCCTGTGTTAAGAAACTTCTCTTAATCCACTAATTTCTTGTCAGGGTACCAAAGTTCTAAAAGGCCATTTTCCCACCTTTTATTTCACTTATTAACATTCAAGAAAATTCCAGCTCCCCATGCAATTGGACCCTGTCTTGGTCTAGCATTTAATTAGTGACCTCTTCCATCTAGCTTCAAAGCATTCCACTTCTGCTAAATGAATCAGTTCATCCAGAGCAAACTCTTATAACCAAGCATGTATTTATGAACAGGCCTGTGTTTCCTCCCCAGAGTGCAAGCATTTCTATAAACAAGCAGGGGGTTGGGGTCCCTGGAAGATTTTCTGTTGCTGTAAAGTGGCTGCCTTCACTCCATGACTGGGAAGCCTCCTGTGGGATCTACCCATCTGTGTCAGGCATGAAAAAATTTATATTTCACACATTTCCGATGTTCATTTTGGGACAGAATAATGAAGATTAAAATAGCTGGTTTAAATCCAAACCTTATCTGTGTAATGAGAACTGTGTGAATTTTAATGTTTTTTATGAGCAATAGACAGGGTGGGGGGAATACCCTGAAGTTATCAGGGGAGCCCAGCTCACACCTCTAAATTTAGTGCAACTCAAATGTGGAAAAGTAGAAAAGGAGAGAGAAATCTACAGAAAGGAGCTATAGCTTTCACCATAGACATTTGTATACACTGCTTAAAAACATCAACACATATTTTAGAAATATTTGAAATAAACTAAAGATATCTATAAATGAAATTCATTTTAAACTATTAAGTGAACATTTACTAAGGCTATTAAATTAGAGAAGGTACCTGCACACCGCTTCTGCATCGAAGTTCTGAGTTTGTCTATGATCAATTACAATAATTTCATGATGCTTATCAAGAAAGCATTCAAGGGCTGACTCCGGAGTCCGAGCAATATTGCATCTATAACCAGCTCTGTCACAGGCCCACCAGAAGCCATCACTCTGACTATCTTCCTTTGCAAAGATCAGCAAAACCTGAAACACAACAAAAAGAGCATCTTGAAATAAATGATCATCCATAGAGACTATTAAAAACAAGTCTATTGGCCAGGCGCAGTGGCTCATGCCTGTAATTGCAGCACTTTGGGAGGCTGAGGCAGGGGACTACTTAAGCCCAGGTGTTTGAGACCAGTCTGGGCAACACAGCAAAACCCTGCCTCTATAAAAATGAATAGAAAATTAGCCGGACACAGTACCACACACCTGTGGTCCCCACTACTCAGGAGGCTGAGATGAAAAGATCACTTGAGCGTGAGAGGTAGAGGCTGCAGTGAACCATGATCACACCACTGCACTCCAGCCTGGGCAACAGAATGAGACCCTGTCTAAAACAAAACCAAAAATAATCCCCCTCAAAACAATAAAAAAACCAGGCCTATGTTATACTGGTTAGAAACAGGGCCTCTGGAGGGAAGCTACCTGGGTTCAAATCCCAGCTCCTCCAGTTGGTTACAGTGGTCTTTGAACAAGGTATTTCACCTCTTTGGCCTACAGTTTCTTGGCTGTAAGAGTGAAAGAACAGCGCCACTTAAGTTAGTTCTCAGAACTGAATGAGCGCAGAGAAGGTGCCCAGTCACTCTGGTGGTGATTGTTACTCACTGCAATTACAAGTATTTCTAAATTTCCTAATTAGCTTTGTTTTTAAATAAGTAAAATTATTAACGAGATAGTTACCAAAGCTTAGGTTATGGTTTACATTTATAATACATATATTTGATTCCAGTTGCAAGTGGTATTTGCCTTTAAGTCCCTGGAGGCCACCTCTTTGAACTTAGCACTAACATACCTGTAGACATAAGGAAGTAGGGGAACTCAATCTCAAAAATGAATGCTAACATCCAATCTTTGCCAGAATCTGGAAAGAATGATCCCTAAGTGTAAAACTGATGGAGCTAAGTTGAGGGAAATGTGCCTCTATTGATGATTAGCCTCATTAAGAAGCAATTCTGCCCATAGGAAAGAAGACAGCAATACTTTCTGTCTCAGAAATGATTTCTCCCTCATCATCCATCCCCTGGGTCCAGGAACACAGATTCTCTGCCGGCCTACCACCACCTGAGCTCATTTATGTATTCATGGTCCATCCCCCTCACTAAAGAAGGAAGCTTCAGGAGAGTAGGACTCGGCCTGACTTGTTCCCTGCTGTACCCCTCATGCCCAGTACCAGGCTGGCACTTCCTAGACATTCAGCAAATATTTGAGAAGTGACAAAATAAATACTTGTGGGATCTTCTGAGAAACGCAAGAGGGCTTCACTATGAATAAGATGTAAGACCACCTTCCAGCAATAGATCTAATAAGAAAAACCTACAATAATTTCAAGATATTGGTAAGGCATTCAAAATTCTTCTGCACCCACCTCTGGTTTAAACAATTAGAAATAGGAGGGTAGCTTCTCAATATGAAGAGCTTTTGAGTCAATAGTCAACATATTCATCACAGTGAAATGCCAAACGTGTTTCATTTAAAATCAGAAACAAGCCAGATTGTCCAATCAGTACTATTACATTTGAAAAATACCTTATTAATTGAAAATTGGAAGTATATAGAAAAGTAGAAACAATAATGTAATGAAACACATGTACTTCTCACCTGGCTTCAGCAATAACAAACTCCTAGCCAATGTGGGTTCATCTCCATCCCTACCTGTTTTCCTAACTCTTATAATAGGTTGTGGCAAATCCAGCTATTTTATCTTATTCATATGCATCTGTGAAAGATAAAGATTTTTTTAAGAAGAACAAAACCATAATACACTTTCACACCTAAACCTCCCCAATAATTCCTTGATATCAATAAATATCTGGATATATTATATAAGCCCTTTGTTAGGAGCACCCTGGGCTGGCTAGGGTCTGTCCCTCTTCAGCCCAGGAAGCTCCTAACATGTCCAGCCACAGAGTTTCTTCCAGGAAGAAATGGGAGGTGACTCTCCCAAGAAATAAGAAAGACATAACCTTGTGGATTTTGATAACGAAAAGAAAGTCTTCAAACCAAACTGTTAACAAGGGAGCCTGAATGAGAAAAAATCAGGTAGACTGGTCGGTACAAAAAGTCAATAACCTTTTACTTGGTGTAACTGTGGTATTAACATGAGAAACTCAATATGCCAAATCTAGAAGTCAAAAAAGGTGAAAAACTTCTTGTCTCTCACCTGCCTGGCTGAAGTATGGATTTCTAAACAAGAATCTCAACAACTTATATTTCCTTGACACCATTATGCCTCAATCTTTGACTAATACAGTAAAAGAATATAACAATTATCTTGCTGGGCATTACAACAGCTATCACTAATTTTCAGAAACAGTACTTTTGACCTCTTAGGGTATGTTGATGAACAAAATAAAAATACTTTGCATTGTAGTGGTAGAGGTATAAACAATAAATAGATATTAAGTAAGTACATTGAACAGGTGCTATGTGAAACCTAGCAGAGCAGAGTAAGGGGGTCAGGAGTGGGTGCTGTCAGCAGAAGGAAGTAGGTTTTGCTAAGAAGATGACATGTGAGCAAATGCCTGATGGGAAGAGAAAAGCAAGCCCAGTTTGTCTTGGAAGGAAATGCATTCCAGGCAGAGTTGTATAAGCCCCTGGTGTGTTCTAAGGACTGCAGGGGACCCTGGGTGACAGAAGGGTGGGAGGAGGTCAGGTTCACTGCAGAGGGCTAGACCACGCTAAGGCCTTCTAGGCCAGTTGAAGGTCTTACAAAACTGGATTTCACATGGAAATTTACAAAACTGATTGAAGTTGAACAGTTGTATTAATTTTATCTTTTTATTTTCTGTGTTTCTGACCTTTGACTTCTGAGGCTTTGCTGACACTGGAAGGACTGCCCGTCTCAGGATTCGCTAATTCCTAGAGATAGCGCACAACTCTCCAGTGAGCATGCTCTGCATATGCAAATCAACCAATCCAGAGCCCATTCCCCAGACACTGCCTTTGGCTCTTACACGCCAGGTCACAATCCCCCTACCCTAATCCCCCTAGGACCAGGTACCAGACAACTAGAACCACCCATACATCCCAGACCTTTCTGAAATTAATCATACTAGCCTGGCCTCATCCAAGCCTTCCCATGGAAACTGGAAACCACAGTTGAATCTCTTGCCCGCTATCTCCTTCCACTCCCTCTGCCTCCTGACTGACTGTGGTGCTTTCCCCGCGTCGCCTGTGTGGTGCGCTGTGCCTCCCACTCTGGGAACTATTTTTTCAATGCCAATTGTTCCTAGATCTGTTGGCCTTACCATACCTGAATAATAAAATCTATATCTGTTGCAAGATAAAGAACTGGGAATAAAAAGATGGCAGAGATAGCCATAGGCCAGTCTACCCCCCTGGGCTCCAGTCAAGGAAGCAGGTAATTATAATAAATGCACCAATACGTGGTGACCACAGATAAACAAAGCATGGACACGAATCTAAGCAAAGGAGAACAAGCAGAAGGAAGTGGTTTTGTCACATCGATCTCTCTGTACCCTTGTATCTGTTACAAGATACAGAGTTTATTATTCAGGTATGGTAAGGCCGACAGATTTTATTATGCAGGTATAGTAAGGTACTCAGGAGAGAATTTCTTTGGCTAATATTTAAATTTTTCCTATTTATAAAAAATTAATTTAGAAAGACTGCTTTTCAATTATTCAATTCCTAAGCAAAGTAAAAATTTATGAGAATAAAAAACATGTATTTTAGATTAAAACACTAGAACAATCACCTTTTTAAAATATCTATCTGCCTAACTCTTGAAAATTATACCTTCTCTAGGAAAGTGGTAGATCCAAGTAGCCCAAATTGGACTCTTTGTCATCTCCCAGACTATTGCTGGGCTAATAATATTCGGTTTCCAAGAATTTGGAATTGGAACAGAGAGACACGAAGGCTGGGAACTGGGACCTGTGGCCCATTAAGAATAGAGATTATTGACAAAATAATGTTAAACTCTTGATGTCAAAGGGCTCAGAGATGGCCCATTGACACCCCTCCCAAGCCACCCAACCCTTTTCAACTCTATCTTGGAGTCTGAAAAAAAAAATTGCACTGTCCTTTCTTAAGTACATAAGTAAATAAAAAACTATCTAATACTTCCTTATCTACTTACGTACTTTTTTTGTATAAGGTAGCTATTACTTGCAACCAAAAAATAAAAACAAAAAAATATCCAGTAATGCAGGCCCTCATCTGCTTTAATATTCTGCATATCAGTATTTATCATTTCTTTGTTTGACATGGCCACTGATTAATATTTATTGACTATTTACTGAGTTCAACAAATGATTGACTCATATAAATGATTCCACAAAATATATTTTTGAAAAATCATCACTAATGGTGTTATAACTGAACTTGATCTGTAAAGAGTAATAGCAAACTAACCTTGTGCTTGCTGAAAATAATATGCACAACATTCATTCAAAGAATATTTATTGATGGCGTGTTATGCAATATGTTAAGAACTAGGAATAAAAAGATGGCAGAGATAGCCATAGGCCAGTCTCTTCCCCTGGTGTCCAGTCAAGGAAGCAGGTAATTATAATAAATGCACCAATAAGTGGTGACCACAGATAAACAAAGCATGGACACAAATCAAAGCACAGGAGAACAAGCAGAAGGAAGTGGTTTTGTCACATCGATCTCTCTGTACCCTTGTAAACATAGCAAAAGAGCAGAAGATACAGGACTGATCTGGGCTGAAGCCTGGAACAATGAGAAAATGTCTTTCTGGAGCAGAGCCAACTTGCATTCTGTCCCCAGCCAGAACACAACTATCGGCAATCCTCACTTTGCATGCTACAGTCAGACCATAATAATGACCGTGCATGAGGGTTGAAAAATTACCTACTGAGTACAGTTTTCACTTTTTGGGTGATGGGTACACTGAAAGTCAGTACACAATATATGCATGCAAGAAATCTGCATTTTTATATTCTATAAAAATAAAAATGAAAAAACTGACCATGCAAAGCTATCTGATAAATAAT